CCAATTTGGTAGACACAAAATTTGTTAAAGGAAAAACTCGGTTGAAGCATAAGGGTAGCACGCTTATTTACATCGACTTTAACATTACAGACCTGCATTTGTTTTATGCGCTCACTTGGTTCCGCGAATGTGAAATAGACATGTTTATAATCAACCAATTGTGAATTTCACCGTCAAGAATTAAAATAAAACCCAATGTTTTATATAATAAGCGGAAGTCGAAGCAATAAAACCGATGGTCGTTTTGTTTACAGTTTCTCTGTTTGACTCTCACGTATGCTGTTACGCCTGTCATCTTAAATTAAGAATGTTTATACATACACGATTTTCATTTGCCTCTGATACGTATACGTGAGTAAATTGTTTCGTTATTTTATTGATTATTACAAATCAATATTCAAAACGACCCAATTCATTTTCCCGAAAATTTGAGAATATAATAATTTTATTCTTAGTATTACACTACATCTATCCCAACTGATATACGTGTTCTTGCAAAAATGTTGATGACGTCATCGCAATTTTTTTTTAAATTCCCACTACAAAAATCTAATGAGAAAAAAAACACAATAGGCATGCAGTCGTCAAGTTTCCGACAGCGAGGGAAGTACTGTCTAAACTCTTTAGACCAATTTTTTTTCGATTTTTTCGGTTTTTCACTTTTTCAATTTCTTGATTCAGTTTTTTGATTTCCCATTTTTCGACATTTCATTTTTGGGGTTTTTCAATTTTTATGATTTTTTTGATATATCTTTTTTTTTAAATTGAAATTTTTAGTTTTGTAATTTTTACCTTTTCGATTTTGGCCCATTTCGATTTCTCGAGCTTTTTGATGTTCGAGTTTTTGAATTTTCGACTTTTAGCCTTTTCGATTTTTTATATTTTTAGATTTTCCAATTTTTCAATTTTTTGATCTTTGGGTTGCTCGTTTGCTTTTTTTGATTTTTCAGTTTTTCGAGTTCCGAAGCCTCAATTTTTCGATTTTATAACATTTACATTTTTCGATTTTTCGAACTTTCCACTTCTCAACATTTCGGTTTTTCGATTTTTGATATCGATATTTCCATTTTCAAGTTTTCGATTTATACTTTTTTTTTAGATTTTTCGAATTTTTAATTTTTCAATTTTGAGATTTTCCAATTTTTTGTTTTTACGATTTTTTAATTTTTCCATTTTTCAAATTTTCCACTTTTTGACGATCATTTTTTTCAATTTTTAAAAGTTTTCAACCTTTTGATTTTTCGATTTCTCGATTTTTCAAGTTTACATTTTTTTATTTCCCAAGTTTTCTGAATTTTATTTTTGGGATTTTTCAGTTTTTATGATTTTTCGATTTATCGTTCTTTTTCAATTTAAAATTTTCAGTTTTTCAATTTTTACTTTTTCCATTTTGGGCCATTTCGATTTCTCAAGCTTTTGATGTTTCGATTTTCGACTTTTTAAGTTTTTCGTTTTTTTACATTTTTAGATTTTCTTTTTTTTAAATTTTTTGATCTTTGGATTACTCGGGTTTTTTTTTGGATTTTTCAGTTTTTCGAGTTCTTTGAACATCCCATTTCTCAACATTCCGGTTTTTTGATTTTTAAAATTTTTAGACTTTTCGATTTTTCAGGTTCTAGATTTTCGATATCGAGATTTCGATGTTTCGATTTGTCGATGGTTCAATTTCCCAATATTTCGATTTATAGATTTCATCAATTTTTTCAATTTTTAAATTTTCGATTTTGGGCCATTTCGATTCGATCTTTAGATGTTTCGATTTCTCAGTTTTCGATTTTTCTAATTTTTAATTTTTCAATTCTTAAGTTTTTAAGTTTTTTGATTTTTTCGTCTTTTCACTTTTTCAATTTCTTGATTAATCGAGATTTCGATTTTCAATGTTTCGATTTCATGATTCAGTTTTTTGATTTCCCATTTTTCGACATTTCATTTTTGGGGTTTTCAATTTTTATGTTTTTTTTTATTTATCGTTTATTTTTAAATTAAAAATTTTCAGTTTTGTAATTTTTACTTTTTCGATTTTGGCCCATTTCGATTTCTGGAACTTTGGACGTTCTAGTTTTTGAATTTTCGACTTTGGCTTTTCGATTTTTTATATTTTTAGATTTTCCAATTTTTCAATTTTTTGATCTTTGGTTTTCTCGTTTATTTTATTGATTTTTCAGTTTTTCGAGTTCCGAATTCTCAATTTTTCGATTTTGTAACATTTACATTTTTCGATTTTTCGAACTTTCCACTTCTCAACATTTCGGTTTTTCGATTTTTGATATGGAGATTTCAATCTTTGATTTTTCGGTTTTTACAATCTTTCAATTGTTCGATTTCTAGATATGTCGATTTTTCAGTTTTCCTGCTTCCGTCTGCCGTCTGTTGGTGATTTTATTAGACAAATAATTTTCAAAACTACTGTACTGATGGTTGTGAAATTTTATACGCATTTTAAAAATGTCGTGTTTCATCTTAAAGTTTTGCCAACTAAATCCTATTAAAATTTTACGACAAAATTTTACAATTTAATTAACTTGGAAACTACAAAACCGATTGTTCTCAAATTTTGCATACGCTTGAAATTTGTTATAAATCTGATAACTCGCTAATCGCACTTCATCTGCTTAACCCTTTCAGAAATTTGGTGACGTCAACGCAAAATTTTGCTAAGTAAACACTATTTAAAATATGTAGATGCAAATTTTTGACGAAAAATTTCAAAATTTTGCAATCTAATACAGAAACAACAATTATCACAAAATTTTGTTAAATAAATTTGTCCTGAAATTTATAGTGTGATTGTTCTTTTATTTGAAATTTTATAACACGTAACGAGTTAAATAATAGTCAGTGTTAACGTTTTGGTTAAAATTAACATTGAACACATCGAAGACAACACAAGACTAGATTTTACAAATAAAAATGTTGTTTACCCTCCGTATAAATAACAAACCCCCGTTTACCTTTTCTAATACATTTTTAACCACCCAAACCTTTTACCCAAAAGCTTGCGTTTCTTTTAATCGAACTTTCATGACTTCCCGTGCGTTTTTGAGCCCAAACACGCTTCCAAGTCTTCGCCGCATAAAAAACACCGAAATTCCTCATAAATCGATTAAACCTTTTCAATAATTCAGCCTCATTATTTACCCATAAGTTTTCGTTTCAATTAGATCGACATCAATTCGGCCCGAAATAAGTGCGTGAAGCTGCGTATTCTCCAAGAAGTTTATTTGGCCGGTCCGGAGTGAAATTTAGTGCGTGTTTCGAAATTTCTCGTGGTCAACGTACCCCGGTAAATAATAAAGTTTGGCGAAATTTTGAGCGTCGGCCAATACGTGTAAACAAAATAAATTTGCGCGAAAATAAGCGCGAACGGCAATAAAAATGAAAATTTTATGACGGACAAGTTCGTCGTAATGAGATAAAATAAATGTATGCATTGTAAAATTTGTGCAAAGGTACGTATTTTGCAATTCAGAATTGGTTGTGTGCAGGGCCGGCTCTAAGGGACCAGGCGCCCCGATGCAACTTACTGTTCAACGCCCTTTAAAAATTGTTTGTAAAAAAAAAACAAAAAAAATGTTGTAATCACATATTTTTGTAGAGAGATACTTTTAATTAACAAGCATACATAAAATTATGATGAATCAATCTTAATATACATATAAAAGTGTTTGTCCTGACTGACAGACTAACTGATCTATCAACGCAAAGCCTGAACTACTGCAACTACAAACATGAAATTTGGATAGTAGATTCCTTTTGTGCCATAAGCACCCACTGAGAAAGGATTTTTGGAAATTCCGCCCCAATTGGACAAAATAGGGGAATGTAAAGATTTATGTTAAAAATCTTTACATTACAAAAATTTTTAAATTCTTAATTTTGTAAAATTGATACGATTTCAAAGTTATTTTTAATTTAGACTTACCTCAGTGTTATTCGAAATTAAAATTTAAAATATAACAAAACTGAACAACCACCACAACCAGCCGACTAGACTCGGAAAATACAATTTTTAAGTTTGTGCCGACAAGGAGTTTTATGGTACCAACAAACATCACAAATGTTAGAAAAACATCTGGTTTTGGTCATACCGCTGTCTCGTCAAATTGTTACCCAGATAATGGCAGTCATAAATCTGTTATTTTTTGTCGGTATTGATCTAAAGGTCCAATTACCCAACCCAAAGTTTCGATGGGCGCCTTGGTCTGTTCCTGCTATAATATTTTGTACGTAGTAATTCAATGCAAATCTAATACTCCTATTAATTTATTTCTATGGAGAAGCATAGGCGCCGCCCGCCGCCTGGCGCCCCTTCTCATGGGCGCCCCGATGCGGTGCATCTTTCGCTTACCGTGTTAAGCCGGCCCTGGTTGTGTGTAGGTATTATTTTTACGATTTTGTGTTGCTGGTAGAGAAATTTATGTGAAGTCTGCGGATTTTAAAGCGATTTTACAGCGCGGCGAATTTGTTTATTTATGAAATTGTCATAGTTCACGTCTTTGACAGGCGCTTGCATTCAATAAACAATAAACGAATTCTGCATGATAATGAACAGAATTTCAATAAAGCCATTGTTAGAACACAGTGTAGTTGACAATAATTACCCGTACATGAAAAAATACAAGTTGTGGACGAAATTTTCGTCGTTTTTTTCCGGTCGAAACACTAATTCCACCTTAATGGTTGTAGTTTTAGTTTTGATAGCACCAGTCGGAAATGTCAAGAATATGATACAAAAAACATGTTGATAACAGAAAAAAATTATCGCTGTTTTACTTCGAAGAAAGTGTTTGGTTTTATGGTGACGATTTATTTTGGGTATGATTTATGGCGTTCTTTTTCGTTAACTCAATGATGATGATGATACTAGTGAGTGTTGAGTTAGTAACACGACGCGTGTTGATTAACGCATGATCGATGTCTAATCTTCTCTCTGAATTCGGGGAGTTTTTGTTGTTGATTTTATCGGTGCGATTTGGGTTTCATATTTTTTTGTTTTGCAGAGGAAACGAAAGTTGGACGTGCAGAATGGGTTTCCGTGCAAGAAGCTGCTGCCGGAGAAGAAATCTGACGTCATTTCGATGCCCACCGAGCCTTCTGCTCGAGTGCCGGGAGCGGCCGAAAGCACTGGTAAGATTTTTTCTTAAAAATAAGGCACTTTAAGAATTACTTAAATAATGTTTTAATTTTTACATGTAGTTTTTTTTTTTATTTTGATCTTTCACGTATTTCGGAGAAATTAACAAAGCAGATTTTTTATAAAAATTATTATTATTTTTTCGAAGTGACATACGAAATTTTAAATAAGTTGAGTTTTTTTCAGAAAAAATGCGGAAAATTCTAATGTATGTTATTCAGCGCGGTTGTAAAATTACTGGTTTTAAGGGATTTCAGGAAAATTACAAAGCAGATTTTTTTATAAAAATTTATTCCATAATTTTTTTAATCACAGGATGTCTTCAGTTTTTAGGGATAAATAATTAAAATTCTATTAACATTTTATTATAACTAAAAGATAATAGTGACTTACGAAATTTTAAGTAAGTTGAGTTTTTTAGAAACATTGAGAAATTCGTTTTTGCGAATTTTATTTGTTTAAATAATATATTTTTTTAATTGTTGAAATATGTTAATTTTATTATTCAACGTTTCATGAATTTCAGAGAAATCACAGAGCCAATTGTTGGATGAATTTTCGAGGATAAATAAATCAAATTGTAGTAATGTTTTTTAATAAACTAAAAAAATACAAAATTTTAAACAAACTCAGTTTCACAGAAAAATCGATAAAAATATTTTTTTAATTATTTTTTAATAATATATTTTTAATTACTTAAATAAAATTTTCTTTTTAATTAATTGAGCAAATTTTTTTATAAAAATTTAATCAATAATTTTCTTGAGATGACGTCCTCAATTTTAAGTTTCTAAGAATAAAAAAAAAATCATCACGATTGAGATGGGGTGGGTGGGCGGGGTTTATATTATGCCTTTTTTTCTAAATATACATAGTATTCTTTGAACATCACGATACTGAAAAACATATTTTAATTTTTTGTAAAGAAATAAGTATTGTGCAGTTAAGCTCCGCCTCCTTAATTCTCGGAGTAAAAAAATCATTACAATTGAAATAGGGCGGGTGGGCGGGTTTTCACTTTGTTTTTTTGTTTTAGTATGTGTAGACTTCTTTTCACAACAAAAAACTTAAAACATGATGGAAAATTTGCATAAGGAAAATATCGATTTTGCAATTAGGCTCCGCCCCATAATTGCAAAATCCATATTTCCTTGCCAAAATGCACCATTTTAACAATATTTTAAGTTTCTTGTTGTGAAAACATGGCTATGTATATTAAAACGAAAAAGGCAAAATATAAACGCCGCCCGCCCGCCCTGTCTCAATTCTGATGACTTTTTGTATTCGTCGTGAGCCGAGGGGCGGAGCTAATTGCAAAATCCTTATTTCTCTACAAAAAATAAAAAACATGTTTTTGAGTATCGTGTTGTTTTTCAATTTTTCGATGTTTCGATTATTTTTTAAATTTTAATTTTTCAATTTCTCGACCTTTTGATACTTAGACGTCTCGGTTTTGTTGAGTTTTCAAATTTTCTACTTTTAGGCTTTTCAATTTTTACATTTTCCGATATTCCAATTTTTCGATTTTTGAATTTTTTGATTTTACAATTTATTATTTTGTTTTTTTGTTTAATTTGAATTTTGCAGTTTTTCAATTTTTTCTTTTTCGGCTTTGGGTCATTTCGATGTCCCGAGTTTTTTTTGATCGATTTCTTATTTTTTCGTTTTTTGGAATTTTGGACTTTTCGGCTTTTCGATATTTGGATTTTCCGATTTTTCAATTTTTTGTTTTTTCGGTTTCTCGTTTTTTTGATTTTTTACTTTTTCGAGTTCCGAGTTCTCGATTTTTCTATTTTGAAAAATTTACATTTTTCGATTTTTCAAAGTTTCCATTTTTCAGCATTTCGGTTTTTCAATTTTAAAATTTTTCGACGTTTCCATCTTTAGATTTCTCGGTTTTCAATTTTTCTAAGTTTAGATTTTTCAATTTCTCATTTTTACGATTTTTTAATTTTTCGAATTTTAGATTTCTCGACATATTGTTTTTTCAGACCAGAGCCTAATTGCAAAATCCATATTTCCTTGCAAAAATGTACCACTTTAACCATAGTTTAAGTTTTCTTGTTGTGAACAGATGGCTATGTATATTAAGACAAAAAAGGCAAAATATAAGCCCCGCCCACCCGCCCTGTCTCAATTCTGATGATTTTTTTATTCGTCGTGAGCCGAGGGGCGGAACTAATTGCAAAATCCTTATTTCTCTACAAGAAATAAAAAACATGTTTTTGAGTATCGTGTTGTTTTTCAATTTTTCGATGTTTCGATTTTTTTTATTGGTTAGTTTCTCGATTTTTCGATTTTCAATTTTTTGATTTATCGATTATTTTTTAAATTTAAATTTTTCGATTTCTCAACCTTTTGATACTTAGACGTCTCGGTTTTGTTGGTTTTCTAATTTTCGACTTTTAGGCTTATCAATTTTTACATTTTCCGATATTCCAATTTTTCGATTTTTGAATTTATTATTTTGTTTTTTGTTAAATTTGAATTTTGCAGTTTTTCAATTTTTTCTTTTTCGACTTTGGGTCATTTCGATGTCCAGAGCTTTTGATCGATTTCTTGTTTTTTCGATTTTTGGAATTTTGGGCTTTTCGGCTTTTCGGTATTTAGACTTTCCGATTTTTCAATTTTTTGTTTTTTCGATTTTTCGTTCTTCTGATTATTCACTTTTTCGAGTGCCGAGTTCTCGATTTTTCTATTTTGAAATATTTACATTTTTCGATTTTTCAAACTTTCCATTTCTCAACATTTCGGTTTTTCAATTTTTACAATTTTTCGACGTTTCGATCTTTCGATTTTTAATTTTTCGATTTATCGATTTTTTTTTCATTTAAATTTTTCGATTTTGGGCCATCTCGATTTCTCGATCTTTTAATGTTTCGATTTCTCGGTTTTCGATTTTTCTAACTTTAGATTTTCAATATTTCATTTTTACGATTTTTTAATTTTTCGAATTTTAGATTTCTCGACATATTGTTTTTTCAGACCAGAGCCTAATTGCAAAATCTATATTTCCTTGGAAAAATGTACCACTTTAACCATGGTTAAAATTTTCTTGTTGTGAAAAGAAGGCTATGTATATTAAGACAAAAAAGGCAAAATATAAGCCCCGACCACCCGCCCTATCTCAATTCTGATGATTTTTTTATTCGTCGTGAGCCGAGGGGCGGAGGTTAATTGCAAAATCCTTATTTCTCTACAAGAAATAAAAAACATGTTTTTGAGTATTGTGTTGTTCAAAGAATGCTATGTATATTAAAAAAAAAACAAGCCAAAAATTAAGCCCCACCTATATCCATACCAATCTCAATTGTGATGAATGTTTCATTTTAAATTTCTTGGTTTATCAATTTTTCGATTTCTCAATTTATCGAAATTTCGATGTTTCGATTTTTTTTTATTGTTCAGTCTCCAGATTTTTCGATTTTCGATTTTTTAATTTATCGATAATTTTTAAAATTTTAATTTTTCGATTTTGAACTACTTCGATTTCTCGACCTTTTGATATTTAGACGCCTCGGTTTTGTTGAGTTTTCAAATTTTCGACTTTTAGGCTTTTCAATTTTTATGTTTTCCGGTTTTCCAATTTTTCGATTTTTCAATTTTTTGGTTTCCCAGTTTCCGACATTTCATTTTTGGCGGTTTTTCAATTTTGTGATTTTACAATTTATCGATTTTTTTGTTAAATTAAAATTTTTCAGTTTTTCAATTTATTTTTTCGACCATGAGCCATTTCGAATTTTCGACTTTTCAATTTTTTGATTGCCCATTTTTTGACATTTCATTTTGAGGTTTTCTCAAGTTTTTGTTTTTTCGGTTTCTCGTTTTTTAATTTTTAACTTTTTCGAGTTCCGAGTTCTCGATTTTTCTATTTTGAAAAATTTACATTTTTCGATTTTTCAAACTTTCCATTTCTCAACATTTCGGTTTTTCAATTTTTACAATTTTTCGACGTTTCGATCTTTCGATTTTTAGGCTTTTCAATTTTTATGGTTTCCGATTTTCCAATTTTTCGATTTCTCAATTTTTTTATTTCCAATTTTCCGACATTTCATTGTTGGGGGTTTTTCAACTTTGGGCCATTTTGATATCGAGAGTTTTTGATGTTTCGATTTATTGGTTTTTCGATTTTTCGAATTTTAGGCTTCTCGATTTTTAGATTTTCCGATTTTCCAATTTTTTGACATATCATTTTAGGAATCTTTCGATTTTTTGTTTTTTCAATTTCTCGTTTTTTTGATTTTTCACTTTTTCGGCGTTTCCATCTTTCGATTTTCAATTTTTCGATTTGTCGATTTTTTTTTCATTTAAATTTTTCGATTTCGATTTTTCTGAATTAAGATTTTTAAATTTTTTAATTTCCCATTTTTTCGAGATTTCATTTTTGGAATTTTTCAATTTTTCATTTTTACGATTTCTTAATTTTTCCAATTTTCGATTTCTCGACGTATTGTTTTTTCAGAGCAGAGCCCAATTGTAAAATCCATATTTCCTTACAAAAACGTACCCTTTTAAACCTGTTTTAAGTTTCCAAGAATAAAAAATTGGTCTAAAGAGTTTAGACAGTACTTCCCTCGCTGTCGGAAACGTGACGACTGCATGCCTATTATGTTTTTTTTTCGCAATGGATTTCAAAGAATTCGGTTTTATAGTTCCTGAGTAAATCAATAAAATTAATTTACGCATTCATTAATTTTTTTGAGTCACCCTGTATATGCAAATCCTAAAAATATGAATGGAGTGATAAATTACAAGTACAGACTCATCATATTTTGTACAGTTTAGATAGGATTTATTCGGCAAACTTTTGAGCTGACGTCATCAATTTTTTGGAGGGGATAAGCAAATGTATTTTGACTAAACACTTATTATGCTCTTTATAACCTTAAAACATCTTCAAGATTTCAAAGCATTCGGTTTTGTAGTTCCTGAGTAAATCAGTAAAATAAATTTACGCTTTCATTAATTTTTTTTAATCACCCTGTATTTGCAA